CACAGAGGAGGCCGAAGAGGTGGAGATTGCTCTTGCACTGGTCGCTGCGACTCGCAAGCTGCTTTCCGTGGCTTCGCACGCGGTCACATCTCGTGTCTGGCGGCCCGGACACTACAATCAAATAATAGAAATAAGGACGGCGGCGAGCTTCGAGGAGCGATGGCCTCGGCGTCGTCGTCCTCGTATCTCAAAACTCAAAATGCGAATGTCTTCATTCTGTGGACCCCGGCTAACACCAGCGTCCCGCTCGCAGGTAACCAGGCGGCCCACACCGCGGCTCGAGATCTCACTCAGCGAGCCGCGGCCGATTCGGTGGCCGCCTTCACCTCCGAGAGCGGGGTGATGGCACAATCCACAGAACAACAACAACTGGAATGGTCATGGGGTGGTCGCCTGACCGCATTCAACGACATTACACAACATTACAGACTAAACAGACGCAAATACCCACTACCACACAACAAATTGGACAAAAGAAAGGCCGTAACTCTCAGGTTATTACAGACAAATACGTACCCCAGCCCGGTGATCCTACGCCTGTGTTTTCCTCACCTATACTCGATGGACAAGTGTAAAGCGTGCGGGGAAAGGGCCACACTGAGGCACATGCTTTGGGAGTGTGCTGAAAAAGTTAACGTCACTGCCGCCGCTGCCTTCGCGACGCAGGTTAGGCGAAGATGAAATCCGAGGCCAATTGCTGCTTCCACCACCGTACGAGGGCAGGGGCCGGCCTCCGCCATGGATGCGGTCACTGTTGCCGATCGGCGGCGTCAGCTGCGCTGCCGCGGGGAGGCGGCACCCACCAGCGATGAGCTGGCCGACCAGCTTTGGGCCGTCCGGCAAGCTGAAGATGCCGCCCGAGTGCAAGGACTTCGAGCGGTCACCTGAGGCACCGCCATTGTAATCGACGGAGAGGGGGAAGGGACAGGAATTAATCCCCTTTTCACCCACCTCGCCCGGTAAAACCACCGAACTTTAAAGTTCATTCATTCATTCAGCAAGGTAATAGGCACCTTGACGCTTTGTGGATTTTCAATGACTACGGCGTATCATGAACGTGTCTTTCCGCCATTACAATAACGCTTTCAGCGCTAGTGTAAGCTTTATTTAGCATTAAAGTGCGTTCAATAGCAAGGCACAAACGTTTTAATCGCGTAGAAATGGGTCACGACGTTAGTGTGCAATAGAATACGCGCAGCCCATTTCGACTAGAAGTTCACCTTGTCACGCGTGATACTTTCATCCTTACCCTCGCAGGCAACACGTTCTTCGATATTATTGCCATGCATGTTCAATGTTCTGCCTTTGCTGTAGTATTTGATGGGCAAAATATTTGAACACGTTCTTTAATTAAAAGAAGCATCTACTGGCCTGCACCGCTTTTCCCTTTTGTATCGCAATAGAAAGCGTACAGTTTCAAGTATCCAATCTTTCAGTGGTTTCTCTGGAAAGTGAGCGGAAACTTTTCCATCTGCGTTTGGTCTTCTTTCGTTGGTGTACAGGGACGCCGACACTGATTAACGAGCACGAAGACGATGGTGGTGCTGGTGAAAGTCGAAAAAATAACCCACATGCAGCTTTTGCAGGCTTCATTAGGTTTTGTTAAATAATTGAACAAACACTGTCGTGGTCGTTTAGAGCACGGAAACTGTCATATAAAGTATCAATACTCCAGTCTTCCCAGCTTTGTTTGGTCAGCCTGAAAAAACCACCAGGCCTGCACAGAACGTGCAGCACAATCACAGCGAAAGCTCGAAGAGCAGCCTTTCAGAAACTTTTTAAACACTCTTTGGGTAACTGCTAAAAGCACACTAGTAAAGTACCCACTACCCCATTAATTGTCACTATCTTTGTGTAGTAGGGATGCATTAACTAGGTATGCCATATTTGAGCGTCAGTCTTCGGAGAAACGTGGTAACCGCTATACACTTGCCAGGAATTTTGCGGAATTTTGTTTATCCTGTATAGGTATAACGACGCGATGAAGAATTATGCCTGAAACTTTTTAATGTGTCGGAGCATTCGATGACGCACTTGTTTCTCAACTCACATTGTGTGACGACTGGTTGTTATTTTTTGCTGCTCTAAAATGCTTTATTACTCGTATTAACGCGATTCCTTTTTCGAGCCGTGCCTATAGGGTCAGTGTGCAGCAGAGCTTCAAGCACCAGCGTGGCTCAGAGCATAGGAGAATACTGGGCTGGCACGAATAGAAACGGAGTTCGAATTCAATGGTGCTTTTGGTATTTTTATGGTTCCACTCATGTCAAACGTGCAAATAAAACGAACATAAGACTTGATTCACAGAGGAACAGAAGGTCCCTGCTTTTTTTCAGCTATGTTTAGGTGTTGTGTGTAGCATATATGCGACTTGACAGCCGACACGGACGCCTTAGTGAGGCGGCACCTCAAGGCAATGTCTTCATCATAGAAACTCAATAAATACTGCTATGTACTTTACGCATGAGGACATAAGGGCACGATTGGAAAATTTCCTGAAGTCAGTCGTGTAGTCCTTCACCCAAGACGTTTTTTTTTTCTTATCAGCGGACCGGATGCTGCGCACGCATGGCTCGCGTTTCTCTGCCGTATATATGCAGGCGAATGCGTCGCCGGCAGCGACACCGGACGCTTCTTTGAACGCACGAAAAAAAAAACAAGCAAAAATTACTCATTGACGCAAAGTAAAGCTGTGAAATGTGCATAAATTACAATAGTAAGGTAAACATATAGGGTGTCAACGAATAGTCTACCTGCGGGAGCTTTGATTGATTGATTGATTTGTGGGGTTTAACGTCCCAAAACCATGATATGGTTATGAGAGACGCCGTAGTGGAGGGTTCCGGAAATTTCGACCACCTGGGGTTCTTTAACGTGCGCCCAAATCTGAGTACACGGGCCTACAACATTTCCGCCTCCATCGGAAATGCAGCCGCCGCAGCCGGAATTCGATTCCCGCGACCTGCGGGTCAGCAGCCGAGTACTTTAGCCACTAGACCACCGCGGCGGGGCTGCGAGAGCTTTATGCTCCTGCCAATAGATTGAACCACATCGCTGTTGGGTGACACTACAGCGTTGATTATACGACTTTAACGAGTTTCAGAGCCAAATAAAAAAATCTAATTTATTTTTTATTGAACAAAAACATGCTTATTACCGCCAATTTGTGAATCTTCTCATTTCTCCACATTAAAAAAATTATAACTATGCCCATGCGGCCTGCACAACCGAAGTGCGAGCTCGGTATACAAAACATCTCGCGCAATTCGTGATGGATTGTAATGCTTAAGCTTATTAAAAAATGAAATTATATATTACGCAAATTCGCACACTTATCTTCGTACATATTGTCTCGTATCAACCTTTCACACGAAGTCACATCCACAATGCAGCATACGAAATACTGTCGCTTGTCATACAGTTCGCATCATATAGGTCGGCCAACTCAATCATGACTCGACTCTTTCGGGCTGACTCACTCATACTCAGATGGAGCCCTGAGACTGAGTGAGTCCGTGTGAGTAATAGAGTAATATTGTCCTCAGTTTGAGTCCAAGTAAGTGCGGTCGAAAAAAAAAAGTTTCAAAGGTGTCAGTCCAGCTCAGGAAAAGTTTGGTGTCCGAGTCCGAGTGAGTCCAAAGTGGTACATCTATGTGTGTCAGTGACTGCAACGTTGTTGATGTTTTTTTTTGCAGACCTATGCTCACATTCAGCATTACTATTAGCTTTACCTAGAAACTTTTTTTTATTTTCACGTAAGCTCACACGTATTCCAAAGCAGTATCGTTCACACATAATTTCAATATTTATTGATCAGAGGCGTGACCAACGTAAGAGAGTACCTTACTCTCCCGTTTATTCTTCCAGGGATGTTCATTATAAATAAATTTTATGTTGTCATGACTTTCAATAAAACTGTCCTTACTTGTTTTGAGCCACTCATAACTTGTATTCCACGGTAAAGGCGCCATGAAGAGCTCCGATTACGTGAGAAGTTGGTGTTGACAAGCATTGAAGCTATTGTCGAAAAGGTTAACTATAGGCTAATGAACTCATGAGGGGACTTACTCAGATCGAGCCATGAGTGTAAGCCCGAGTGATTTCGAGTGAGTAATATTTTGGTGAGTTTGAGTCTCAATGAGTACGATTGAGGAGGATGTTTGTGAGTCCAAGTCCGACTGAGCCCTGAGTGCAAAATACATTTCATGAGTAAGTTTGAGTGAGCTCCACAATTTTTTGCCGATATATGTCTCGCATACACCAGATGACTAGAACTGCCACTGCGATTTGACAGCCTAATCACTAACTGTTCAAAATATCGCGTGGCTTCAGTGAATACTGTACCTACAAATAGAATTTAATTACACTTGTGCAGTTTAATGCATCCACCCAGATGTATGCCAGATTTTGAGGTTGGGCTCATGTAATAACTGCTTTTGAATAACTATTCTTAAATTTGATTGTGGCACTTTCTTAAATAATAATAATAATAATAATAATAATAATAATAATAATAATAATAATAATAATAATAATAATAATAATAATAATAATAATAATATAATTTATTATTATTATTATTATTATTATTATTATTATTACTATTATTATTATTATTATTATTATTATTATTATTATTATTATTATTATTATTATTATTATTATTATTATACCCCTTGAGAGGAAGCATTCAATGTGAGGAAGTTCAAGGAGGACAACTGTTTATCCTGAGACTTTTATTCACTCATTTCTTCCACGTGAATGGTATGTCAGCGCATTGTAGAATGTATGAAATAATGAAAATGGTTGCGCTTTATTTCTGAAGATGGTCGTGGTGAAAAATAGTGCTCTCTGTCGTATTGAACACGAGTGGAAGCTTTGACTTTTTACGGGGCTCGCCCACATTTGCAGCGATGAGAGACAAAATTCGTCATGGAGAGAAAGCGGATATCGTATGACTGGATTTGTGCACGGTTCAGCAGGTTTGCGACAAAAGTGACTTAATCTCCACGCATTGGTCCCCAGAAACCAGGATAGCCGGCAGTGACAAAACGTCCCGCTGGGGGGTAGTAATTGCAAGGACAGTACCATCCTTGTGGGGCACCGAAAAATGAAGGTCGGAGACCACCAGCCCCACGCAAGCCACCCTTGAGTAAGTACTTGAACTTTTCCATCTTCTTCCCCGGCAGAATAGTACCTACACCTGGACCACCTAGGAAAGGCGGGCCACCACCCTGGAATGGAGGGCCACGAAACGGGGGGTAGCCGCCGAAGCCTGGCATGAAGGGTGGCGGAAAGCCGCCGGCCGGCAGAGGTGGCCTTGTCAGGTGTCTCCAGGCCTCGTAGTCGTCAAAGCGAGACGGGTCGAGATCCTCTTCGAACTCGCCATCCTCCCTAGGCGGCAGGCCTTCGCTCCGGTCCGGCACGTCGGGATAAGGTGGGTGTCTTTTTCCAGGACGATAAAGGGGCTCACCATTTCCGTAGTGCCCCTTGTCCGGATGCCTGTGCCCATACAAACCGTATGGTGGCCCATCTCTGTGTCGAGAATGATCGTCCGGATGGCGTCCGTGATGCGGCGGTCGGTCCCTTTCCGGGAACAAGGGTGGTGGCTTCAAGAAGCGTGATCTTTCAAACTCTGGATCGAATTTAGGCTCCAACGAAGGTGGGTGACGACCACCACCGAGCGCCGGCCTCCTTCCTTCACCTTCCCCTCGGAAGCCCTTGGGTCCCTTGTGGAGAAGATAGTCATCGTTTCGATCTGGAGGAGGCGGTCGCTCGCCGTACTTGTCCGACAGGCCATGGATGTACTTAGGTTTCGGCGGATCTGGCTCGTCGTGGCGACGCTTCACTAGCGACGCCTGCTGCATCACAGTTGATGATGGCTGTGAGCCTTCAGCTAGGACGACCGTGACAGGGGCCATTGGCTTCTGGTTGGTATTTTTTCCGTAAATGGTCACAACACGGTGGACACTTCCAATGGGAGCCTCATCGAAAGGTGATATAGACGAAATTGGGGTGCCACGTATGTCGGGCGTGAATATGACTCCCGGCAGCAATTGTGGAACGGTGAAGTTCACCGTCTCGAAGTACTTTGGCTTCAAAATTCCACGCCATTTTTTACCAGGTTTTATTGTGTTAGTATCGTCAAGAAGAGCGCTCAAGGGTGTACTTGCATTTTGTGCTTTAGCATGGGCTTTGGTTTTACTTTTAGATGGGACATTTCTCTTGACAAGGCTTTTCTTAAGTGGAATCCACTGCGAAAACGCTGTGTCTGGTTCTTTCTTACCGGCGGACATCCATGAGCCAAGACTTTTGTGCCTCGAAGGATGATAGGGAAGCGGAGTGGGCCCAAGTGGATGTTTGTACGTAGCTTGTAGCACAGAGGCACTCGCACCAGGTACAAGTTCCCCTATCCTTGGTGTGATAAGCTTGTTCGAAGGCTGCTCAAAATAATGTTCTTCGTGCTTAGGAGGTTGGGCGTGAGCGTGCTCACTGGTAACCTTTTCATACACTGCTGTCTGAGGGCTTGACCGGTGCTTGTAAACTGCTGACCTGCCCGGGGCATCTTCGCCATTAACAGAGCTGCTCATTTTCGGCGTTTGCTCTGAATGTGTGTTTGATAACTCAGTAATCTGAATGACCGGCTTGTCTCCAATATTGAACACATGTTTGTACATACGTGCTTTGTTGCGCATGTGCGCTGATTCAGACTGGTCGATAAGGTCTCCTAGAACGGCACCAAGGACCGACACTTCATAGTCGGATGCCAGCGCCTTTTTTCTTTCTACGGGCTGGCCCAGAACAATAAAAGCGTGGTTAAAGGATACCGGTATTTCGTGCTTAACACTGCTACTCGGAGACGTTATGATCCTCATGGCGGGTTGCAGCTTGAAATTTGAAGCAGCGACTTCACTATCGGTCTCCGTGCTTCTCATTTTAGTTTTTGGTCTGCCGCGCATACTCTCAGTAGGAAAAGACGAAGATTTGGCCCTCTCAATTTTCTCGGTCAGTGATTCCTTGTGAAGCATGTGCAGGAGAGGCCTGCTTTTGGGAGCGTCTTCGATTGTGAATTTCTCCATCGGCAACGGTGCAACAAAACTATGATTTTTAGTATTAAAAGCTCTAGAATGCGTTGAATTGAGGCCGCTGCTTGACGGCAAGGGTTTATCAGATACCGGGGCGGTGACTGTGGAGAAAGATCTGGATGCCTTGTTTTGAGTGTAGTTTCTCTTGCCGGTACTTGTTGTGACATTAACATTGTGTCCTATTGGCTTAAGTACTCTAGTTTTGTTTACTGTCCTCGGCACAAAACTTGGCCTTATCGGCTGCCGTCGCTGCGTTTGGTTCATGAGAATCCAATATGGGTTTGAAGGAACAAAGGAGGAACCTTCGTTACCCGACCCTAGTCGCACACTGTGAGAAACATTCATCGATGCAAGCACGTGGTGAAGATTGAAAAGACGTAATAGTTCTTTAGCCAGGTCCAGCTGGTTATTGTTGACGCTGCTCGACATCTCGAATGGCGATGACTGACGCTGCTGGCCACCATGTGCGTGTTGTACCAACGCAATGCACACGATCCCAACCTGCGAAAGAAAGAAGCAAGTGTGAATTATACGGGAATTTGCGTAGACTGATCAGTCACGTGCCTAAGTCGGCGAAAGCGGCACTGGTCCCATAAGAATTTTGTCAAGTCATGAATGAAGCGAAAACTAAAAAAAAAGGAAAGGCTGCTTCATCTTACTGTTTCCCCACCAGCACCATATAAAATGACGTTTTCTGACAGTGTCTACTTGGGCTTAGCAAAGTATTCGCGAAAGAGTAGAAGTTGAAGTGCACACATTCAGAAGTATGTAAAGATTGAGTAAACGTTTGAGAGAGCACAATAACATCAGTCAGTTGAAGTTGTGATGCCTTCAATTAAGCTTCCAAAGCACTGCATTTTGAGGACGAGCTTATATAATTGAAAGCTTTACCTTAGCTTTCTGAATAAGTAATGAACATTGTTAATTCAAGTAAATCTAAATAGAACTTCAATATAAAAAAAATGAAATGTCTTGTCACTGCAGCTTATAGCTCGACTCGTACTAACTCATCTTGTTGTATATGCAAATAAAGAACAAGCTGCATGAGGCGCACAGGTTTGAAGGAAGACTAGTTTTAAATGCGAAACATTTCTTAGTGAACTTCGGTTACTTTAAGCGTATCTATCTATCTATCTATCTATCTATCTATCTATCTATCTATCTATCTATCTATCTATCTATCTATCTATCTATCTATCTATCTATCTATCTATCTATCTATCTATCTATCTATCTATCTATCTATCTATCTATCTATCTATCTATCTATCTATCTATCTATCTATCTATCTATCTATCTATCTATCTATCTATCTATCTATCTATCCGCTTATGTTTGGGTGCTCTCGTGGTCAACCCCGTAACTTGGCGTGAACCAAAATTAGCATGAGAGGGTAAGATGGTTTGACGAATATGACGTGCTCGTCAAGACATGACTAATGTCACAATCCCGTCGCGTACATTGGCTAACACTTCCCGCCAGACAGTAGCACATACCCACGGGTGGGTATGTGCCACTGGAATGCGGGTATGTGCCACAGGTGATTGACACCCAGTAACGACGATAACACACATGGGTAATTTTAACGCCCAAGCGTAAAGATATACCCGACATAGGTAGCGTCTACCCGACTAATGCAAAAAATAAATGTCAGGGCCCCAGTAATCGAACCCAAGCATTCAGCGTGGCAATGACGCATTTTACCACAGAGCAAGGTCTCAGAACTACTTTTCATATAGGCGCCAATCTTCTTGAATCATCAATAGTGGTTGCAATGATGCCTACCCAATTTTACAAACATTACATATGTACTCCTTTGACACAGCCGTAACGCCAGGTTCACGTCAATTTCGATTAGTTGTCCTGCGCTTAAGTTGATTTATGTAGCAGTGTCCAGGGCCAGCATCCTCGCGAGCATCAGCGCTTCACATTAGCGTCTGGTGTTGCTAATACGCATGTTCCAGTTGGCATCGTTGCGCAAGTGTATTCAACTGATCATATAAACTTCTTCAGCTCTTCAACATATGTCCGTGCATGCAAAATTTGTAGATATATTTAGCACCATTTCGTGACGTGTCATTAAAAAAAATTGCAACACGGTCACCTTCCCTCCGCATGCTTTGCATAACGTCGATTTCCAGGTACGTGGGATCTACCGAATTTTTTCTCTTCCTTCATCACTCGCATACTGTGTGACGTTACCTTGTGTGCAAAATATGTTAAGATGATCACAAGCCTAAATTCATGATTTTTAAGTTCTGTCAATACCACTTATTCAGCGGTGGACCACTTGCGTTTGCCGCTTCTAAGGCAAATTGTTGCGACGTGCCATAACCCAGTCGAGCAGTTGAAACACCGAAGTTTCGAATTATGTTCCTGTTTTACTTGTGTAGTGATTCAGTGAGAGTTTAGACAAGGCAAGTCCGATAATTTCTCCCACCAAAAGCAAGTTGATATGCGCTGAGAACGATAGCAAAGGGAAGCGATCGAAGGTCCTGATTTTATTAATAGTGTTAATATCTGGGGTTAAAGGTCCCGAAACCATGATATGATTATGAAAGACGCTGTAGTAGAAGGATGCGGAAATTTCGACGATATGGTGTTCCTTAACGTGCACTGACATCGTACAGTACATGAGTCTCTACCGCCCCGCCACGGTGGTCTAGTGGCCAAGGTACTCGGCTGCTGACCCACAGGTCGCGGGATTGAATCCCGGCTGTGGTGGCTGCATTTTCGATGGAGCCGAAAATGCTGTAGGCCAGTGTGCTCAGATTTGGGTGCACATTAAAGAACCCCAAGTGGTCGAAATTTCCGGAGCCCTCCACTACGGTGTTTCTCGTAATCATATGGTGGTTTTGGGACGTTAAACCCCACATATCAATCATCAATCAAAGTGACAACAGCATTGCGAAAAAAAAAAGACTACCACGTAGAAAAAGGCAGAAACGCCCTCTAAAACGAAACAAGACACCATGTTACGTATTCTTCCCTTCTGCGCGGTGGCTATGAGTCTTTTTTCGCGCTACAGCTATGTCTTTGAGCAACAAATGATGAAGCCGAGAAAAACACAGGAGAAATTATATGTTGCATTTAACAGAAACGTAAAAACTATTAGAAAAAGAAAATGAAACAGGCGAAAAAATATTGACAGATCCCATTCGTTCTAGGAGTCGGTGTCATGCGAAGAAGTAATGAAGTTGTGGTCTATATAGCATTTTTTATTACTTTGAGTCAAGAGTTGTGAGTTGAACGGACTTTGTGCATTTTGAGTAGTTGTTCCTATGTCGTGGCACTGGGCACGCACGTAGCGAGGATTTTTTTTTCGGAAAAGGAAGAATCACTTGCTGAAGGCCTTAACTATTGTAGCAATGTGCCTATCTGAGGAAGCAACCCTTTGGAGGGGGAAGAGGTACATAGGACCCTTTTCCGCCTTTCTGACTACGGTACTGATCGTGGGTTTACCGAGCACGTCGACTTTAGGGCGCCCAAGGTACCCGATGGTGCATTGTAACGTCGGTAGTCATGTTAAATAAGAAATGTCAGTGTTGTCGAAGTGAAGAGCACGTTACTTTTCGATGTGATTAGAGTAGGAAATTGTTCCCATCGTGTTTCTCAAGGTTGGGCTTATGTTGTAAGAACCGACATCTGATGTTCTTGTTATTGTTACAAAAGCAGATAGCGAGCACTCTAACCACAGTTAACGTTGCCGCGATGTGAGACCATTATGGTGTGTTTTTATAAGCAGTTTGAAGCATGTTGACATAGCTGTGACGTAGATTACTTTTCTACGCTGAATGCGTAGGTTCAATTTAGGCTCTCAGAGCAATTTTCTATA